TCGCTCTCCCAGTCTCTCTCTCTCTCTCTCTCTCTCTCTCTCTCTCTCTCTCTCTCTCTCTCTCTCTCTCTCTCTCTCTCTCTCTCTCTCTCATGTTAGCATCTCAATTGCTTACTCATCCTCTCAATGTCTGCAAATCCATCTGTTTTTCTGTCTGTCTGATTCTCGTATGCAGAAAATAGCAATGCACTGTGTGCATGGTGGGAGGGGGGAAGAAAGAGAGAGCAAAAGAACGAGATAGATAGATAGATAGATAGATAGATAGATAGATAGATAGATAGAGAGAGAGAGAGAGAGAGAGAGACAGAGAGAGAGAGAGAGAGAGGAAGAAGAAAGTATGCACTTGATGAGGTCACACCTCTCTAAAAAAAACAAAAAACAATAAAACAAACGTACTATCACCCATCCAGTGAAATGCGCGAACCTTTTTGGTTAAAAAACATGGCTTACAAGGTATGAGTATGACGGATCCCAATTCCACGCAAGGCCTGCACCAATGCCCACTTTGCAGAAAGCTCTAGTAATAATCAAAATTCTAAATACTAAAATCTGCTTCCAAGTTCAATTTTTGTCATCCGGTGTTGCCTTCAACCCCATCCCTCCCCCGACTGTATATTTTTTTAAAAATCAATAATCCCCCTATTCCGGAGCCCTATACTTTCAGACTTTGACATTGGTGACCCAAACGATAACCGGTACTCAAAATGTGAGGCGAACACACAGGTTCACAGACCGGTCACGATGGCGAGCCCGACAAGACGTTTGTATAACTTTCTTTTTTTTCTGCAAGTGACAGCACAGGACAAATATTGCTTTATTTTCAGCGTTTGTAAGGCACAACCTGTATGTTACAATTAATGTTGCGTTAATCAGACTGCTACCGGCAAATTTCTGGGTGGTAACGAACGAAAGTAGATCGAGCTTCGGCATCACACATACACTTCCGCTTGCTGCCATAGCCACCTGTTCGCGTGAAACGTATTCTCAGACCGGGAAAAGCCGAAAGAATATCACAATCGTGACAGGCAAAAATGAACCCAAGGATTTGGTTTTCAAATGGTCGAGAACTTATATGTATTTTCCCAGGTCTTTCCCGGGGCAATTTACAGATTTCTTCAAATTCCCGGGGCATTCCCGAGTCTTGGCGATTTTTATCAAATTCCCGTGGGATTCCCGAGACCTGGCAGTCACCCTGGGATGAAGACTCATCCCCGGCAACAATTTGACGCAGGAAAGCATCATCTTCCAGTTCAAACCGCGTCTAGAGTTCGATGCACATCATTTTCCGCCGCTGTTCTTGCATTTCAGTTGTCGGCATCCAAGGGTTCCACCTGAGGGACACAGGACATCCATAACGATCGATGTGGTGAACTCGTTCTTTGGATTTTCCGACTCCTCTTGCATTGTCATTTTGTTTAACTCGTTGATTGGTCTTAACCATGCTCTCTACCTTACCTTGATTGACTGAATGAGATTTTGTGTGGCCTACCAAAACACACTTGATCGTTAATTTTTGTTGACGTTAAAGACTTTCAAAGATCTTGCCCTCAGCCTCATAGTGCCTACATCTACACAGAAATCATACAGTCTCTCCGGTTTAAAAAATCCAATAATGACTCATTGCTTGAGTGAAGCCGTTTCGAGATCGCCATTTTAGTTTTGACCGAGACAACCCACCTACGGGTTGTGACATATGCAATTTCGTGTATGAACGACGTCATAAAGAATTGCAATTACCTGTGGTGGTAGTCAGATAATTAAAAGAGTACTTGTAGCAATTTTCATTATTTTATGAAGGATCAGTAAAACGTTATGACATAACAGTCATTTCATTTCATCCCACCCTCGTACACACATAAACACACACTTATACAAACAAGCAAAATCGCGCGCGCGTGTGCACAAACACACACACACAAACACACAAACACACACGAACACACAAACTATCTAGTCCATTAATGTACCCCACCTCCGACCGACACACCCACCCACCCACAAAAAAGGGACAAGACAAGGGACAAAGCTCGTTCTACTACGACTAACGGGGCTACTTACCACTGTCCACGCTGGCGGTCTTCTGGTCGATGGCCCGCGGCATACTACGAGGAGGTGTCTCCCAGAGGGTCACGGTGACCTGCGCTGGAAGGTTCGAGCTCCTATCAAGGAAGGCCAACACCGCACGCAGGGGCCATCCAGGCCGCGCCTCGCGCGGGATCAGGCCCAGGAAGGCACTGTGTAGGACACAAGAATTTTACTATATATATATACTTGTGAGAGTGTGTGTGTGTGTGTGTGTGTGTGTGTGTTTGTGTGTGTGTGTTTGT